TCAACACTACTGTGATTAGAGCCTGTTGCCTCTCCAGCTTTCATACCACCAAAATTTTCATTATACCTCTTGAAGCACCAACCAGCTTGATGATTCATTAGACCACAGATTTGACAGGGAGTTTTGTATTCATTTTGTCTAGTATTTCTTCCTCTACCTCTTGCTCTCCTTCTGTTGCCTGCATTTCTCCCAATTCCTCTTGTTATTGCACCAAAGTTTCCTCCCCTGTTATATCCTTGACTGAGATTGATGGATCCCATACCAAGTCTAGCTTCATTTAAGTAGTCAAGCCTCGCTTCAAATGTGAGGAGAATAGAGGTCATTTCATGCCAGTTCAACTGATCCTTTCCATTTAACTGTACCACAACTGGAGTGTAATCTTCGTCTAGTCCAGTCAACACGTGAGATTTTGAGTTAGGTTTAGTGTAGTTGATTGAAGACGAGCTGAGGGAGTAGCTGAAAGTGAAGATGAGTTGGTTTGAGACTGAGTTTCAAAAGATTCAACCATATCTCTGATACCAAGAAAGAATTTAACGAGGAGAAGAAGAACTGATGCAAATTAATTTGGATTATGACTCAATATTTCTCAATTATCATTACAGAATTGAAGTCTATAAATAAGAAAAAAAACCTATACATACAATTCATGAATGTAGCACTGCAAAATATCTAAAAAACCGGATTATACAGTCTCGCTTTTCACTATACAGTAATCACACAGCAAATCCCTAAATTAATGGAGTGGCCAACTAAATCAATTATGAAGATGATGCCCAGCACGATAAACAGCAAGGAGAGAGAGATTGCAGCAAAGAGGAAAAGCGTGTTTTTCATTCCTTTACGTTTTATCACACTTTGGATTCTTATTAAGTTCATCCTCCAAGTTTTGTTCTGACGAATGTAGTCCTCCTGTTTCAATTTTATCTTTCTGGACTTCCAAAAGAGTTACATTGGACAGAGTTGGACTCATTTGGTAACTCCAAGCAATCGGAAATGCCTGCAGATGGAATTTACAAGAGGTATGATGCTTTTGAAGCTGGAGGATCCAAATCCTCTTTACAGCGTGATTCAAACACCTCTATTGCCAATGACAAAGAATCCATGTATATTGATACTAATAAACTAAAAGAACCTACGAGCTGTCATTTTCAGCCACAAAATTTCTACACGAGTTCTGCCGAGGAAAGTGAATGTGAAAAATATTTCTTCTCTAATCATAGTGATGATCTGCCTCATGTGTCTATTTTTGACACTCGTTGTGAGTTTCAGACCTATGCTCTCTCCCGTCTTCTTTTTTAACTTCTGACAGGTGCAATTCTGTAGGTACGATGATGTATCTAGCTAACGTCCAAATATTCTGTGTTTCACTAATTTATTCCTATCCACAATTGTGATGTTTAGGCAATTTGCAGGTCCTCTATGTTTATTCCTTCCTCTACCTCTTAATCTCGAAATGTATATTATGTATTTGTACCTGAAAAGTCTGGGTTCTAGTTTTATATTGTCGGTCAACTGCATTGACCTATTTTAGCAACTAAATTGTTTGTTGCTGCATGCATTTTATGTTTGTTTATCTTGTTAGATGTTCAAACAAAAAGTTGATTTCCTTGTTTTGTATGCATTGGAATAAATAGAGCTGGGCCATAATTTTCATAACTAATCATTTATACTATACAAACCTCTTCATCAATAGCAGCATCTGGCTTAAGCGATCACACATTCTTTGAATTAGGTTGATTTGATTGCACAATTTTTGGGATGTGTACCTTTATGTCATGCTTCAATTACGTTCATGAATATATTGGAAAATGTAGGTCTTCCTCCATGGCTACTACCTTTGCATTTGCCCACCTCTCGTGAAACTTATGAGGGTTTGATGAATAAGCACATAAAATTTTATAATGACTACTATAAGAGTGCGTTGAAGCATTTGCATGTTTCCCTTCAATCGACAGGGCCAGTAATTGAGGCTTTTCACCCTTTAATATAGGTACTGCAAGTATTATGCTTTGTATGACAATTGTCTGTCATATTCATCTAACGACTTATTTGTTTTGAAAATGAGTAGAATTTTGTTTTGCTTCTAAAATCCAGCTGCCATTCCTTATACAGCGATATACACCCCAATTGTTTAAGGCAATATTTAAATTAATATACCTGGTCCCTTGCTATCATTTTAAGCTAAGCTAAGCCCTGTAGCTCCTAAACTTGGTGTCAGCTACGTAAACTTTTGCCTCTTGTTTTGTTTTAATGCTGCATTTGCTTAAAGGTTGGATGAAAATAGAATCAATTGTGTCCACACAAGGTTATTTCTAATTCAAAAACTGTTTTACTTTTTAAGTAATTACTTTTGAAGCAACAGAGTTTTCTGGTCGTATAGAATGTTACAGAACTACACAGTCAACCTCGCATAGTAGAATTAGTGGGTAGATTTTCATAAGAAAACACAGTACAAAGAAAGTAAGCTGTGCAAGTAAAAATCAACGGTCGCAGTTATGTTTTGTCATAACAAATACCTACAATTATTGATTGTGTACTAGTTTTCCAATTCAAGAAGTCAATTACTTTTTCTTTTTAATTAGAACGGATTCCATCTTTGTTATTTTGGTAG